CAGTATTTCTACTATAAATCCTTCCATTTTCTTTCTTTCAAATGAGGCTTCTTCCCAGAATATCTATCATTCAACTCTACGCTAGGATATGAGTGTGAGTTGAGGTACACCCACACATACTCGAAATATTTCAAGCCAAAAATAATGTGTTGGGTATACCATTTGCATGCTGATTCTGAATATCATACTTATTTTCCATAAAAACCAACTTTTGACAATCAAAACTTTGAAAAACTGGCTGAGTTTGTGAAAATTTTTATGTGAAGGTGACTGTATTCTAAAAATATTGAGTTTTTTACTGACAATAAGAATGTCAAATATCTGGCTTGGTAACTTCATATGATCACACCATCTTCAACACAGAAAACAGTGAAATAAAGAAAAAAATAACTTTGGGATAATTACGTCAGCTTCTTTAACAATCTTCTGTGAGTAGTTGATTGCCTTATGGCTGCTTTCTCCTCAGAAGTCTGAGCCACAGTAATAAGTTATTGTTTATTTTTTTACTTTTTTAATTATTTGATAAATTTGATTAACTTTTGTACCCAGAGACTTAAAAATGAAAAAACTGCATTAGAATGATGAGAATATTCATTTTATGAATGCAATTGGAATACATCACAAATTATGTCCATTTCATGATGCGTGTGGGTTTTTTCCATGTTTTTAATTTAAAATTCATGAAAATCAAGACATTCTGTTGATTTTTTGAATTCTTTGATATCGCAGTGAAGCAAAAACTTTTAGCAGATGTCATATTTTATTTTGCTCTCAAAGGTACCTTATTGAAGCAACCCTCATAGTGATTTCGATACTTCTCAAAGCTAATTACAAAATTAAGACGCGCGCAGGTTTTAGAGTATAGGTATTTTAGCTTTCTTTAGAAAAATTTTTTTTTCTATAGCAGAAAAAGTTTAGCACATTTTTAGTGCTTTACTAATTTTTCGTTAACCAATAATAACTGAAAGCAATTTTATATACCCCTCGGTATAGAATTTTATAGGCTACATTTTGGCATAACGCATTCACCGTGATATTAAAATATTAATAAATTATTATTTAACTATTAGTTAATGATTATTTAGTAATAATTAATAGCCACTTAGTTAAACTTCGCTTTATTTTTAATTATCAGGTATTCCATGAGAAAGAGCATTAAAAATTGAACAAGATTATCTAATAATTTTTTTAAAACACATCATCACAATGAGATTTTCAGTTCTAACTAGTCCTAGTGCTTATTATGTTATGAACTGCAAACCCACAGAAAAATAGCTGAAAATCATGACCTAAATTACTTCTTAAAACTTAGGGCTACAACATTGTACAAAACATTGCTAAAAGAGTGACGACCTGCTATTTGAAAGAAGTCTTGCTTTTCAAGGCATCTAGGTTTTTTTCAGATATAAAATCCCTTTTTTTTTTAGTTGACTCTTTCATAAGTAATAAGTACTAGGACTAGTTAGCAGCGAAAAAACTAGAAATCTCATTAAGATGATCGGTTTTTAAGTAATGGTTCGATAGTTTTGTTCAATTTTAAATGCTCTTTCTCATAAAATATCTGAAAATTAAAAACAAAGCGAAGTTTTACTAATTGACTATTAATTATTATTAAAAAATTATTTAGAGAAAAAAGTTGTGCAGCAGGTACTGACGCTAGTTTCTTTCTATGTCACAAGTTAGGATTCATCGCCTTCTTTCGTTCAGCAAGTCAATCTTGCTATACGAAAAAGCTTTTTGTGCAACTTCTGTAGCTCACAGACACATATCAGATGAAGGCATCTTGCATCATAAATGTTCTTTTCTTTATTTCTCTTCTCTTCTCTTTAAGAAAACATGGGATCAGTATTCTCGACTCTAGCAAGTTCTACTTTGCTACAAGATCGAACTTTGCTCGTCTTTTCATTGCTTATTGGCAGTGTTGTTACCATTTCTGTTATCCTCCTAGCTTCTTCTTCATCGTATTTCAAATGCATCATCAAGAGATTTGTTCGGATCCAACTGCAAAAACGATTGGTTGCTCCAAGGACTCGACCATCAAAGACAGACGTTTTCGTATCTTATTATCAAAATTTCCTTTGTCATATGCAGGAAAAAAACAATGAATTATTAGCAAAGATTCTCCAGAACAATTACTCATCTGTATTTTTCCGAGATCGATCGATTTCATTTCTATCTTCTCGTCGTCCTTCATCTTGTCGTTCTGAAGAAGAAGGATATGCAACAATCGATGAGTTTCGAGAAAAAGTGCCATTGACTACATACGAAGACTATCGCGATTATGTCGATCGAATGGTTCGTAATGGAGAAACGAACATACTCACTTCCCAAAAAATCAACTACTTTGCGATGAGTTCAGGAACAACGGGAAAGGCGAAAACTCTTCCGACGACTGCAACCATGATCAGAAATATTTTCACACTGGGATGCATCGGAATCTGTGTGATTTGGAGATCTCTTCCTTCATTATGTTCCTCTCCTGAACAACGAGCATTTCTACTGAGTAGTGGAAAGAGAGTAGATATGTATTCACGGTCGAAAGATGGTACACCGTTAGGTCCGATTTCCCAATGTTTTTCAGCAGTTCCACTTAATCCTGTAGCGAGAATAATCAAGTCTAGCCACACTATTGTTGCGACTGATTTGATTGGAGGAATCTCCGATTTTGAGACAAATGCATTCGTTCAGCTCACTTTTGCATTAGCATGTTATGATATATATTCCTATGGGGTTTCATTTGCTCCAACCTTCATTCATACCATTAAAATTATTGAAAAATACTTTGAAGAAATGAGTCTTTGCATCGCTTCTACTAATTTCGGCCATAGCTCTCTTGTTCGAGACAATATTCGAGATTCAAAATTTCGGAAGAAGCTCAATCGAGCGCTGAATGAGCTAACTATCGAGTACGGAGGAGTAAAATACCAATTGGAACGAGCTGAACATATTCAAAAAGAATGTCGAAAAAAAGATATTCCTGGTATTCTTCATCGTCTTTGGCCATCTCTGGTTTATGCAATGACAAAGACAGGAAGTTCATTTGCCATATACAAAGATGAGATCCAATTTTATTGTGGAGACAAACTACCTCTCATCAACTACATGTTTTACGGCGCCAGTGAAGGATTCTTTGGATCTCTCGCTAGCATTCATACCAACGAGTACTTTCTGTCACCAACATCTGCATTCTTCGAATTTATCAAAGAAGAAGACGTGCATCAGGTATTTTATTTTGGAAGATAAATTATCGCTTTTGATTTCATGCTAACTATGCCTTCTACATAAGCATTTTCTTCTTGCTTAGGCTCAACCAAAGACCCTGCTCATCTCAGAGATCGAACCAGGAAATCGATATGAATTAGTTTGCACAACCGAAGCAGGATTGGTTCGATATCGAATGGGTGATGTCATCGATTGCACACGATTTGCTTGTCGGGCTGATGATTTGGTTCCATTACCATCCGAACCAGTAGATATTCCTCGAATTCCTCTCATTTCGATTGCATACCGTGTTGGAAGTCTTTTGGATATATGTGGAGAGAAGACAAGTGAACAACATGTAATGAATGCTCTCAAACGAACTATACAAGAATGGAGAGAACAAGGAATATCTGTTGACTTATGTGATTTCACGACATATTCGAAATTAGATGTGTTTCCGCCTCAATACGTCATCTTTTTGGAATTGGTTGGCGGCGAACAAGGATGCAAAATTGATGATCAACAACTACGAGTTCTTCAAAAGATGGCAGACTCTGAAATCGATCAACAACTTTGCAAAGCAAATGAAAGATATGATGGTCATCGTAATGGAAAAAAACTTAGTCCTCTTACATGTATTCTTGTTCGAAGTGGAACATTCTCGACATTTTTACGAAAAGAGTTGTTGACTGGTCATGTGGATTTAACACAAATCAAACCTCGTCGATTATTGAAGAACGAGCATCATATTCAATTCTTTTATGATAATAAATTTGATGCCTCATCGTGTTAAACATTACTTCTGACTTTGAAATGACATTGATCATTTTTAATATTAATAATTTATAATGTCATGTTGAGATTCACAGGAAAATAAGATGAAAGAAAGAAAAATGACATCAAATAAATAAGAAAGAAGTTAACAGACAACGATATCTATCACATCTCCAAATATACATAACAGACACACGCATACAAGCGTAAAGAAAGGAAATAATAGGTATTGAAAATCAAGCATCATGAGTGAAGAGAGCATGAGTAGTAAGATCTCGTAAAGGAGATAGCAGATAAATGTTGTTTTTTAACAGTTGAAACAATTCATATCTATGGTGGTATAATGAAATATTTTTATGTAAACATATTCAGTAATGTTGTTGTATTTTTAAAGTACTCATATTGCCTATATTGGATGTCTTCGAATTCTAGCCAATCCATCCTGACATACTGCGCAGTAGTAGACAATCTCCTTGAAAAAATGCTATATTTTTTAAATTTCATCAATTTATATCAACTCTTATCAGGACATGTACCAATTAGATATGCTTCATCTTCTTACATATATTTAAATTCCAATCGAGTATTGTTGTAATGATAGTTTCTAGATATTTGAATTTTTTCATGTATTCTATTGGTTGAGACTTGTATTTCAAACTTGAATATTTTGGTGAAACTACACTATGTATCAGTAGTGCGTTGATTTTGAAGACATCGCCCAGTCAGTGAGTATTATGACGATATTATATGAATCAAATAAATTGGTAGAAAATTAATTATAAATGTGAACATTTTCGAAATGATAAAATTTCAGATCGCTCTTACCACCAATTAAAACTGTTATGAATTTTGAATTATTCATTTATTTGACATTTTTTAAGGATGTAGGTGCGGGTATCTTATTCAAATGCACCCACACCTTAATCACTATTAATATTTCGAAGTTTATCAAGCTGCATAATAGGATGTTAACCCTTTGAAGGCGGGCTTTTTCTTTATAAAAGGAATAAAATCGTAGTGTCAGAATCAGTTCTAACTTGAAACGTATTAACTATCATAATTGTTATATTGGTTCTTATTGCAAAGACACAAATAGAGAATTTTGAGATAGGAAAAGAAACAAAACACTCAAAGAATCTACTTGAATAAAGCCAAAGCTTTTCATTTCTACTGAAATTTTCAAACCGTATATATACGGGCTTCGTCCTCAAAGGGTTAAAAAGAGTAATAATAATAATAATCGATTACTCTTTGAAAACAATTACTATTTTGTGAGAAATTCTCAGCTGATATGTTTTGTATTAATATTCAAATTGATTTTTATTTCATTTTTTCTACTTGTATCGTTGCCACCGATTGGTCCTATATGCGCGTTGACATATACAAAAATTGTGTTCTTTCAAGATATTGCAAATCATGTTCATGTTTTATGCAGAGAATTATGTTGAAATGTTAGCAACATTAACAACAATCAATCCAATTATTGCTTAAAGTTTATATACACGTTTAGACACACCAGAAGAATGATCAGTATGAATCAAAAGTGTTTCATCGAATTCAATTGACGTTTCATGATGCAAGTTTGAAGTTTTCCTTCTCCGATAGAATAATCAAATTCACCAACGTTGTTAAAACCATAATGTGCATAAAACTTTTGTGCCTTAATATTCTTAAACCATACACCGAGCCATATAGATCCTTCAGAATAGTGTTCTTCTGACCAACATAAAACAGCATTCATCAATTGTTGACCGAATCCATGATTTTGCTGATCACGTCGAATATATAGTGAACTAAGTAGTGCATCTTCATTTGATCGAACATCAGGATGAGGAATATCATCACAGGGATCAGCTGACGCAAAGCCGATAAGTTCACCATTTATCTTATTTTCTATTACCCAAACAGCTCGTTTTGGATCAACTATTTTCTTTGCGAAGTTTTCTGGACTTGCGAATAAACGAAAATAATGGTCGATGTCCTTTTTAGACAAAGGAATGGAAAAATCTTCAACATATGTTTCTTGAAAAGTCTTTTGACGTAGTTGAAATAGTGCATTGATGTCGGGAATATCAGCACGACGAAGAATAAATTGATCGTCCATACTTTAAAACTAAATTGAAAACTTTATAACAAAGACAAAATGAGTCATAATCAATTTCAAAAGATTTTGATTTGCTGCTTTAAATACAATCACCGCCCATGGTGTAAATTTCTGCGAAAAAAACGCGTTCTGAAAACGCATTTTTCCATAGCTGCGAAACGCGTTAATGCTGACCGGTTTCACGCGTTTCACATCTGCTAAAACAAACGCTGTGTAACGATTGTTTTTGTGAAAAATTTCGCAGCGTTTCTCAAACTGTGGTGTCGTAAATTCTAGATGGAAAAAAAATTGAAAATCGTCAATGACTTCATAGATCTTGCATTGCAGGTACAATTTATGTATTCGTTTACATTTTTTCATAGACCTTTAGAACTATAACTTACATGAATTTTGATGCAGTCAAGACACGGATTCGAACACGAGAACATAGAAGTATAAGACATGTATACAAACCGTTCAACTAAAATAATCTAATGATATAAGTGTTTATTCTACTGTCATTTAGAGTCCTGCGTAAACTTACTAAATTAGATTTTCAGTTTCCATTCCACTGGATTAAAAATTATCATTTCTTTGGTGCCTATGTCCAATTACGAGTGTGGTCTTTTCTTGATACATTTTTTATTTAAACTCTTTCAGATTTAAATTCAGATACACAATAGAAACGAATTTAATCGATTTACACTGTGTTTAATATATAAAAAATTAAATTTCTTATATATAAATTTTAAAAAATTTAAAATTTAATCTTTTATTTATTTTCTTGATTAATAGATTTTTGTAAATGCAAATCCGTCATCGTTTTATCCAATTACATCAATAAATGAAAGGAGTTTTCTTTTGTAAATCGAATCTCTTTTATTAAAAAGTTACTCTTACTTCAACAATGTACAAACTAAAATCATGTTTACTAGTATTGTACACAGTATCATTAGTTATTATCAATTAGTTCGAGTATGAACTCAAACTAATAATTATTCAAATTATAGATAACGCGATAATTCTTTTGTTCACAAATAACCAAAGAGAGTTGCTATACTAATTATATTAGTATCGGTCTTTACTAAATCTTTTCGAAATGCTCAATATTTAAAATGACCTGTCCACGTAAAACGTGATTCCGTCACGCTTTATTTGTTTTATTTCATATAAATGACTCGATCTCTAGAATCCAATGCATTTGCAATCTTGACAAAAAATTGTGCTTGTCAAAATGAGACACTACAAATTTGTCTGTAACTTCTCATTCATTACAAACGAGCGTGACGAAATCATCTCCCTCCGTGGACAAGTCGAAAACAATTCTTAAGTAAACCTTACGAAACACGTTTTCTTTCAATAAAAACGTGGTGAAATGAGTTTTTAAGAAGAATATATTTTTTGTTACACTTTGATGTTTTACATTAGTCTAACTTCGAATTAGGTCTAGATAACAGTCTAGCAGCCTAAAAATTTCCAAGGCTTTGATTTTAGTCTTGCCTTCATAAAATCCTGGGTCATGATTTTCACGTACAAAAATAGTGCAAGGAGCAAAACTTTCAAGTGCTATTTCATATCATTTCCAAAGTAATTTTAAAGAATTTATTTTGCTTAACTTCTATGCTTTGTGTTGGTGAATTTTTGCAAGATTCTGTATGCAGAATGGATATATTTTGCATCATTCCAAGGAAAAACAATCCAACACACATTTGAAAAAGAAACGCGTTTTACGTTTCCCCCAATTTGTATCTGTGGAACGCGTCGCCTGTCGACCAAAGCGCGTTCGACAGCATTTTAATTCGGAAACGCCTCGAAACGCAATCTTGAAAAAAGCGTTTCGGATCGTTTCAAAAAACGACTGTGGCAAAACGCATTTTATGTAAGTAAGAATGCTGCGAAACGCGTCCTATATTGCAAAAACGTTGTGAAACGCATGCTACAACCTCGGAAACGCGTTACGCAGTCCGTTTCCTTCAATATTTTACTCCATGGGCGGTTTTATTTTCAATGTTTTCTCAAGAAAACTTCTCATTCAAGAAAATTTAAACCTTTAGACAGACAAAAAGATTACATAAACTTGGAATAAAATTGGGTTTTATAATATCTATAAAAAAGACTTTTTCTCGGTGAGTGAAACAAATACTAATAATATAGGATTCAGTTGTTTCCATATACTGACCTATATCTCTTATAATAAATGTTATTCATAGTTGAATAATTATTGTACTCACTTTTTTATATAAAGTAAAGATATCAATGTCGACTGTTGAATAAATATCTCAAACACAAGATAAGAAAACATAGCTCTTATATGCTTTTTTCTTGTTCTTCCTTAACACAAATGCCGGTAAACAAATATTTGTCAAATATATCTTCTTCATTATTCTACTAAAAGAAATACATAACTTTTCTATAAATCATTCATTTTTTTATTGACAAATATGCATACAACTTCTATTGTGTTATACGCATTGAATAGTATTCGAAAAAAAAATCACAGAATTTTCTTCGTTCTTTGTTATCAGACATTATTGAGTAAGCTAAAAACTAGAGTGATACAATACTAAAACATTCGATTAGCCACTCTAATTCAGAAGAAAAGTTCAATTCTATATCCTAATTTTCAGATGAAAATGAGAACATTATAAAAAACGAGGTTTTACGAAAAGTTTACATGTCTGAAATCAAAATGATGGAGCACGCAGCGTGCAGTGTGCATCAAGAAACACAAATAGACGGAGCTATTCTACGCGCTTCGCATACTT